GTTGTTTTGTTTTCTTTTGTTTTGCTATTTGGAGAAATAATCAGATTTTCTTGACTGTTCCTCTCGATGTTTATCACACAATGCCCTGCCTCTGAAATTGCTGCTCCGGAAGCTAAGGCTGGCTGTTTATGTAGCCTTGGTCTGTTGCGTGTGCTGCCACTTCTTAATTTATGGTCCGGCACATGGAATGGGAGTCCCCTCGAGGGGATCCTGCAAAACCCCAACCTGCTGTTGAAAGTGCATCTACACCCCCGGGATTGTGTGACCGAACGTTCCCTTCCATAAATTACCCACAGAACAGTTCCACCTCAAATTAGCATGTGCTTCTCTCTGTCTTCCAACCTGCCTATGGTGGGAAAGGTTTCACTGGGGAAGCAAATGGAGAGGAGGTGTGAGACAAAGAGAGAGCCCCCCCCATCCGCTCTGATGGCACACCTTTACCAGGGCATCTGGCAATCTCATGCAAATTCAAACCAGAGCACAAATGCAAAGAATAATTGCCCATTAAAGCGGTTGTATATTTTTATGGCTTTGATGCAGAATCTGCCCCCCTGTTGGGTTTTGCATCTGCTATTCTCCCATCTCTCCCAGAGCTCTAAAACTTTAATATGCAGTTTATAACCCTCAAGTATTTTCCACTGGTTTTGTGTTTCTTCTCTGGGGATTTCTAGGCTGGTGAAATGAGCTCATTTGTGTTTATTTTCTAAGGTAAGCACCATGTTCGTAAAAGAGAGGGGGAGGAGCCGCGTGAGTCACTGTAAATACATTGAATGCAGAGTTGTGGGAGGTGGGGCTTTGTCTTCCAGGGGGAGATGGGCAGTGAGCAGCGGACAACTTGGTAAAGGGCCCATTTGGCTTGTTGATACACCCACACATGTCCCATTTCCAAATGCTGATTGGCTTGGTCCTTGTACCCTGCACAGCAAGCTTCCCATTTTTGTTCCTAAAATTTCATCTCTTTGCATCCCATCCTATAGGAGTTCTTCCCACGAATGAGGTGGTTACTCCCCTAAGGTCCACAAGATATGCTCTGGTGTAAATCTTGCTGATGAGTGAGAGGGGCAGGCTGGGAACCGCCATGYGTCAGTAAGAGGTGCACGTGCTCCAAAACTCCTGCCTCCTTTTCTTTGAGATAAATCTACTTTTCATTACAACAATACAGATTTTTCATTGTGATTCATGCTGGATGAAGTTGAAGAGGGACCTGTGGGTTTGCTCTCTCGTCTCCCACATGCTGGGAACTCAGGATTTTCACTCAAAAAACATATATAAAGTGTCATGCCATGACATTTTGGTCTTGTTGAATCTGTATCAGAATCATCTGTTCAGATTACTGCTTAAAACACACCTTTAGCCATGTCCCAGCATCTACAAACTGCCGCGTCCAATAGCCACGGAAGAAAACTATCCGCTCCATCCATCTCCTATGGAGCCTACGGGAAGCTTGATAAACAGTTGTGGGGGGKTTTATTTTGTCCTTGAAGTTGAGCATTGGCCTTCGTGGTACGACAAGAGAGCCACTTTAATAACCCAGCCCTAACCCAGCCACTGGGGGAAATCCTCTAACAGGGAAGGTGCAGCCACAGATCTGAGGAGTTTGGAGTGGGGCAGATTGTTGTTCTCTGCGTTCCCTGTTGTGCCCGGTTATCGTGTTCACGGGGCATTGCTGGTCGGGACTCTGGAGGGAGCCAAGGGGTGAAGGCCTTTCACTAGGTACTACTTGTCGGGGAAGTTGGGCTTCCCAGAACCAGGGCCGTTTCCAAACTCTGGCATCTGTTCTGCAGGGCGTGTGGCTGTAGGTGGAGGGGGATCGAGGCTCTGATTGGTCCAGCAGCCCCTCCTTCCTTCAGAGTCATGTGCTGCGTCTGGACCCTCCAGGCACCTCTCAGTGGGGAAGTAGAAATGAGCTTTCCAGGGGTCCCGACTGCCAGCCAGACGTCAGTCCCCTCGTGTGTCCTGCAGCTTGTGTGCAGGCCACCTGCCCACAGGACCCTGTAGCAGAAGGTGGACGGTGAAGAGGGGCCCTACTCTCCCCCAGGGACTCAGTCTACCTTGGTTGGCCTCAAGGTTGAGGTACCTGATACCTGCGGGTGCCAGGCCACGCCTCTAAGTCAGAACACAGGAGGGGCAGCCCCACCTCCCAGCCTTTGCTGGTCAGTGAGGGGCACTGTCCTTCGCTTCTGTGACCCAGGAGACCTGGCTTCACATGTGCCACTGGAGGATCAGGGCAGTGGTCTTCAAAGGAAATTTGAAAAAAAAAAAAAAAGTTGGAAAGGAAGGATTAGAAGGAAGGAAATCCAGGAAAGGAGAGGAGAAAGAAAGGGAGGGAGGGAGGAGAGAGCAAGAATGAGAAGAAGGCAGGGCAGCTCCTTGATCCCGATGGCTCAGTAGGGCCAGCTCTGGACGGACAACCAGCACCACAGAGCTGCTGTCCAGGAGGCCTCTGGCCCGGTCTCTGCAGCTCCAGGTTTTGCCCAGGGCCTTCACCTCCCAGGGAGGGCACATTCTGCAGGGAAGTGCTCTTCCGTCTTCATCCCTTTAACCCAACAAGGATCCCTCTCGTCCTCCTGCTCAGAGGAGCCCAGAGAGCCTGCTAGGAGGACCTACCTGTAAATACCTCCTGCTGCAGGGAAAGACGTGTTTCTCCCTGGAACCAAGAGGGCACAAAATGGAATCCTGGCTCCACTCAATAGCATCTGTCCCCTCGCCCAGTGGCTCAGCTTCTGGTGCACATTCCCCCTCAACAGCTAAACCCTCCAAGAATCATTGTAAAACCTGCTCGTTGCTGAGAGGGGTCTTTTGTGGCTCCTGCAGCCCAGGAGCCGGTGAGGATGAATGGGTCAGCATGATCACCCTGTGTCCTCACCAGGCAGCCAGCTGGCCGGACAGATTGTGTGTGGCTCGTTTTCTTTATTTCAAAATCCAGAGTGTGCCTGTGAAGACGTAGTGTCTGAAATGCTGCAAGGTAGACCTGGAGTCAAAGCTGTGGCCACTCATTTCCTGCCCAGTCCTGAAGCAGTGTCTCCCATGTCCTGTCCCTGCTGCTGAGGTTTGATGGTGTTAAGATTCACACTCCCCATTAAGACTCAGCCCACCGTGGCTTCTGGCATGTGGGTTGAAATGCGATCCAGGAAACTCAGGTGCTTGGGGCTGGCAAGAGAATTGAATAAAACGGCATGGTTTGTCTTTAACCACAATAATAAAAAGTTAAAAATAACCTTCATGGTCTTCTCAGATACAAACAGAAGATGAAGTCATTCTGGCTTGGCCCTGCAATGTTCTCATTTTACCAACACTGTAAGGGAAAGACGGGGTAGAGTCTGTTTGCCGTTCCAGAACAGGCGCTGAATTTTGGATCAGGATAGCCAGTTGGTCTCCCCTTCAAGCCCCAGGGTGCTATTCCAGTTCAGAAGGGGGATGCATTGGGGAATTGCTTCTGTGGGGAATTTTACTTGCCCTCCACCCTGCTGGCCACCTGGTAGGGACAAGCCCACTCTGCCTGTGAGTAGAGGGTGATTCTCAGAGCACCCTGGTCACTACATGGCCGCCCGCCAGCCTCCTAGGTAGCAGCTAGTGATTCCGGTCTCTGGAGTGGACTTTCCATTTTCCTTCCAACGTCCATTTTTCCTCTGTGCTCCTTCCACAAGCCATGCCTGGGTCCAGGGAAGGGCTGGGAGCAGACGTGAGATGGAAAGCTTGCACTCCCGAAGGAGACGGGAGGAGGGAGACAAGCCCACCTGGCAGTGTGGAGACACACTTCAGCACAGCAGGCATCTAACACACCGGGGAGGCCAGGGCTTCTGCGGAAGCCTGGCCAAGGGAATCAATCCAGTGGGTTGAGTCCACCAGCTTCCTTCTCAGAAGGCCWTTCTGAGTTTCTGCTATGGTTCTCCTGGGACCATAGTTTCTCAAATGTATTTTTCCAAGAATGTACCCCTGCATGGGATGTGGTTTGGGGAAGCGGCTGGCTGCTATGCTGGGACAGGCTCCGTCGGCATAGGGAGAGAGCATCGTGAGGTTCAGAGAAGCCACTGGGCACAGAACTGGCTCCTGGAGGCTCCTGCGATGGGAGGGAGGACCTCCCAGGTAGAGGCCTCAAGGAATTGTCAGGAGTACCTTCTCTCCTGACTCAAGTGACTCAGAGAATTTCCCCCAGGAAAGAAAACTCCATCTACCSTCTCCCGAGAGTTGAGTTCCCAGACATTTCTGATTATAGCTTAAGGGGGTGTGTTTGCTTTTAAAAGCTGTGTAGGAGATCTGGGGGCTCCTGATATGCTAATAACCATCTATTTAGGGGCAAGATGAGTGATTTGTGTACTCAAGACWCATAGAGGTGTCTATAGGAATACTTCAATTAAAAAATTTTGACAAGTCATATGGACCTAAAGGGAAATGTGAAAAAATACATAAAAATGAGAAAAGGGAGGGTTATGAATAAACTCTTCTGCAATTCTGCCCCAGAAATAGCCACTAGTGTATGAAATATGTGTTAATGTCTATAAAAACATGTATGTATATTCATATGCACACAGATATAGCTGTACTTGTATGCATATATTCATATGCAGTTACATGCACATTTACCCACATACATACATGCATGTCTGCACATGTGTACTGTGCACTAGAAACATGAATACATGCATGTATATAATGCATATATATGTATATACATAAATATATGTATACTGAGATGTTGGTAAATACACCTTGCAATCTACCTTTTTTAAAAAAAATTAAGTTTTCAGTGAGTCTTTTTTCCTATTCTTAGAATTCTTTGTAAATGTTTGTGGTTGACCACATCCTCCTGGGCAGAGGGAACCATGCTGTATGTCCTCCTCACCAGATGGTCCTGGGGCTCAGCCTTGCTGTCTGCTTCTGTCCTCCTAACTCCTGGGGGGGCTGGAGCTGCCTTGGCGCTGCAGGGACTAGGGTCCTGGGAGCAGACCCCTCAAGGGCAGGGTGGGTCTCATGCCTTTGCTCTGTTCTCTCTTCCGCAGTGCCCGGCTTCCCGTATCCAGCTGCCACCGCGGCAGCCGCCTACCGAGGGGCGCACCTGCGAGGCCGCGGCCGCACCGTGTACAACACCTTCAGGGCCGCGGCGCCCCCACCCCCTATCCCGGCCTATGGCGGGTAAGTGACGCAGCCCCCCACGGGCCTCCCTGCACCAGCCCTACCCCCAGAGGCACGGAGTGTTTGTGAGCGCATGATGGTCTTGACTGCCCACCAGAACCGCCCCAGCATGCAGCCCGKCGCGCGCCTGCAGCGGAGCACCTTGCAAAGAGTATTGAAAAATGAGTGTAATTTGTCCTGTCATGGTCGGTGCCTTTAAGCGTTCTACATGTCACGTGCTGTTATGTAAATTTGCTGAGACTGAATGCTGGAGAACAGAGAAATGGTTACAGCCAAAGATGTATTTCTGATGATTGCAAACATCTGGTTATTAAGGAGGTTGGACCACATTTGCCCCTTGAATTCAAAGGGACATGAGGCTTTTCATACATAAAAATCACTGGGGTGGTCTTGTGCCCCTCCCCCAAAGACATCTTGCTCTTCCAGGTTTATGAACCTTTCCCTGACACAATTAGGTGTTGAGTCAAAGGCAAAAATGGAAGACTTGGATGAAATTGGAATTAATATGCCTTTTAGTTCCATTGTCCAAAATGGCACAAGCCCTCCTTCCTCCTCTGTGGGGATTTTGCAAATCGAGTTGTTCTCTGCTGCCCCTGTGGTCCTTCTGTGCATGGATTTTGAGATTGCCAAGTAAATACCCAGCAATGGTGGTGGATGCTCAGAAACAAAACCAAGCAGGCAAAATGTGATGGACTCAGTGGGGGACAATCCTGAAGTGCTGCGCTCTCTGCCCTTCTGCTAGGATCCTGGTAGCAAATTCCTGCACCTCTGGGGTAGGGTAAGGAGGGATGGTCCTCGGGCAGTAGCTGAGACCRGAGAATATTGGCAAGGTCTGGAGAGAACTTTGTTTGCCACAAAAGGAATGGAGAGGGGCAATAGCATCTATCCAGCAGAGCCAGGGCTGCTGCCAGACATCCCCTAGTCCACAAGACAGTCCTGCTCCAGGTTCAGAATGCTGGTTGAGAAACTGTGCTGTACCCAAAGGAACCCTCCCCCGTGAGGCTCCCCTGACCAGTGCCTGGTTTCTGGTCCTTGACGACATTTAAGACTGCATGTAAAGGGTTAAATGCATTTTCTTAAAAGCTTTTCTGCTTATAAATCTTTTAGAAAATACGAATTAGCCTAGATCATCTATTATACTGATGACAAAGGGCAATAYTCTTGTCATTATTTATTCATATCTTGCCCATTCCAAAACAGAACATTTGAAGTGTTTCAAAAACAAAGAAACAAAGTTGGGAATATAATGAAATGAAACCTGATGAAATCATCATTGGGAAGGGAACACAGAGGTAAAAAGATAAGGCCACGTGCATCCAGTGTCTTGTCTAAGCCACTAGAATTGAGTCTGAGTTCCTCAGTGGACAAAAKGAGCAAAAATTGATAACGAATCATAAGAAACCAAGAACAAACTGGCTCTAAATCCTCCCCATACCCCCAAATGCATCTGTATGTCCTGAGCCTTATGTGTCCCCACTATGAGCAATCATTGATTGTYTAATATTTATTGCAGCCCCATAGTATTGAACCCATTTTATAGGACTAGAAATGCAGAAATAAAGATTTGTTATTCCCAAGGTCACACAGTGAGTTATGAAGGGAAAAAAGCCAAGTTATCCTCTGGGCTCACGTAATTGCTAAAGCAAGATTCATAAGCCATAAATGCAAAATTGCACATTTATGCCACATTATTTTGTCTGAAAATCGTTATCTTATCTTGGTACATAGTAATTGTAGCTTTTCAGTATATATACCCTCAGTCAGTATCTCATGACTGTACTGGGCAGAAGAAAAATAATAAAGTAAAATTGTACGGCTTATCCTCACACGAACAATTTATAAAAACATCTCAACACACCTGCCATAAAATTGAAATTTACTAACTTATAAAGAATGTGCTCTTTTCTGGGAATTACCATGCATAACTAATTAATGCCACGTTCGCCAGGGAGAGGCAGCCATTTCCAAATGGTACACCGTGTGTTGGTAACTACTTTGGATGGGGTGCCATTGAATATTCCTGTGATATGCCTGAACATTTTGGTTATAGTGCTAAGTTGTACCTCTTTCCTAACAGTAGTATGGCTGGAATTCTGAAAACATACTTACGAGAAAGAGAATACTCCTCTGGGGGCTAGGAGGAAGAGCAGGGCTGGTGTGTGTGTGTGTGTGTGTGTGTGTGTGTGTGTGTGTGTGGGAGGAAGGGTTCAGGTCTGTAAGAATTGGTAAGAGCAGAGTACTGGTGGAAAGGAAATTCAGAGGGCAGCCTGGGCATTTCCCTGGCTTACAGGCTGCCCAGAGTACACGGCAGCACCCAAAAGGAAGGTTCTCTTTCCCTGCTGTTCCCTGCAGCCTAGGCTTCAGGAGGGCAGCTAGTCACATTAAAGAGGAGAACAAGGTGGGACATAGAGCAGGGGTTGGCTGGAGGAGAGAGGGCCCTGACTTTGAGCTGAGTAGGAAGGAAAGGTGGGAAAGCRGCTCCTGTTTCCAGAAAGTGCCAGCCTCAGGATTCAGGTGGCTTAGAGCTAGTGTGGGTGTCCTGTGGCTCTCATTTCCAAACCCCTCAGCTCAACACCCACACTCTGCATGAAAGGTGCAGAGACCAGTAGCACCCGCAGAGGCATCCTTCCAGCTGGGCTAGGAGCCGACATACAGGCTAACCTTTTCAACAGACATGGTAAGGTAGTGTATGAGCACCAAGGAAGGGTCCCTAGCCCAGCCTGAGTGTTCAGACAGGGCTTCCCCGAAGAGAGGAGATCAGGGACGTGTTTCAGTCCCAACATTTCCTAAATCGGCACTTTGAGATCTTGGTCCTTGATTCTGTCCCAAGTGCAGTGGTCTCCATCTTTTCTAAGACCTCTCCTAGTGATCTGCATTTATCCGGGAACAATTATATTTCTGACTGTCACAACTTGAACATGCATCTCACTGCCAACTGTTCTTCATGAAGCATCCATTCTGAGTTTATATTGTCATAAAGTTCCAGCCAAATTTTTTCATAATCTATCCTAGGTCACATGGCTTCTGTATTTTTTTCTCCTGGAAGATAGGGAGGGCCTTGTAGAACCTCCGTAGTTACCTTTGTGGAGCCCTGGGAGGCCCTTGGAGGCATCCAACATTAAGAAACTGACACAAAAAAGATTGACTCAGGATGCCCTTCCCCTCATCCGTTTCCTGTTCCTCCTAGCAGGTGAAGACATGGGCTGCTAGGAGGCCCTCTTCTGTTTTCTTTTACATGAATAGACAGAAACCTCCAGGAACATCATGCTTGATCATCTCTCCTGGGGCAAGCACTCTGCCTGTTGACTGCAGCCTGAATGGAGGAGAAGGGGTGTGACTTAGAAAATAGCATCCTTGGGGACTTTCCCAGTCCTGAAAAGACCCTGGGGAGCTTGATCAACCTCTAGTTTCATCAGTAGGAGAGTGAAGAATGGACCTTCCCGTCCCCCAGGGTTGAGAGAGGGTGAAACAGGAAGACCCTCGTAAGGGCTCTTACAAACAGGGCTCTTGTTTGGTGGCTTGCAGCTTCTGTTGGTGCAGATGCAATGACTGACTTTTTGTCAGTAGCTAATGCACTTATCTTCCTTGAAGCCCCCTTCTGCCCGCGTTGAGTTCACAGGCAAATTCTACGTCTCTGACCCCATGTACTCTTGAGGTCTGTGCTGTTCACAGACCTCCATTACCCCAAACCCACAGAGATGGTTTTGGACAGAGGCGCCTGGATTGTTATGGACGATAACCATTGAGACTAAGAATTCAACTAGTGAACACTCTCAGCTGAATGGATGAGGTTTTCCATATTTCTCCTTGGATTTGATCCCGAACTCTATTTTGATAGCCAAGTGACAATGTCCAGTTCCTCTTCCCATGACTCACATTTGAGAGAATCTCTTAGGTGATGGGCATCATTGCAAGGTATTTTTTTTTTTATTCTAAACCTCAGCATCCTGCCTTAGCTACAGGGTTTTGGCCTTCCTCCTCTAGGTACCTTCAAGCAAGGTATTCTGTACTTTCTTGGTTATTTAATCATGACATTCTTACATACAGCTTCCAGAGTTACCTCGGACACTATTTTGAGGTGACTCTGGGTCATGTTGGGTCTAAGAAAGAAGTGGTATTATCCCAGGAGGAACGTCATAAAGTTGGTCAGGGCAAGAATTAAACCCACAAATAGCTCCTTTGGGAATGCTGTCACACTGAGTCCTAGAGAGCCCCTGTGCCCCATCTCTGGGATCATGAGACATCTTTCTGTAAACCAGTCATACCTTCTTATTTTATCTTTCTGACTGTCTGTTTTATCTGATGCTGAAGAACTTCTTCATTTCATATCAACATTAGGAACAAAAGTTACCATTACCTATTCTCATAATACTTTCCAAAACTCTCTATAGTTTTTTCTCTTTCTTTCTTTCTTTCTTTCTTTCTTTCTTTCTTTCTTTCTTTCTTTCTTTCTCTCTTTCTTTCTTTCTTTCTTTCTTTCTCTCTTTCTCTCTTTCTTTCTCTCTTTCTCTCTTTCTTTCTTTTTCTTTCTTTTTTAATGTGTGTGTATGTGCATGTGTATGGGGTGGGTGTTTCTAGTGTCATTTTTTTTTACTTAGTTTCTTAGCCGGTTTTAAATATAACAAAAACCTCTCTTAATTGAGTGGATGTATAGGCAAACACTATAGACTAGTAGTTTTTAAAGCTTTTGGGGAAAAGGGAGTGAATTTCACAGATGCCTTGGATAATCTGATAACAAATATGCATTTTCCCTGAGAATGTTTGTGTACAAATACACAATTCCAACAAATAGGAGTGAGTTCATAGACCCACCTGATAGCCATTCACAAATAGCTATATTTGAACACATTCAAAAATTTAATTTATTTTCCTGTTAGAAGGGGCAGCAGGGTGGAGAAGTTTTAAATAGCCTTTCCTACAAAAATATATTCGTGGTTAGTATATATTATATTACACAAGCACATCGTATAGTTTGTGGCATTTCTATACCTTCAGTCTTT